CTAGGGGGAATGGGTCTCACAAACCCATGCCGAAACGCGACTAAGGAGTATAAAGCCTCAATCAGGGTAACACAGCCTCTGGTAAAGCAGATAGAGGCTCAGGCACTTGAGCTTCCGGATGATGATGACATACAGAAAATGCAGCAGTTCAACCGAAGGGAGAATGAAAAACATCCTAGAGAAAAGTTAGAGGAAGTAAGAGCGTACTCCCTGATAACACCAGGAGAGCCGCTGTCCTTGCTACAGAAAAGGGCGCGTCTAGTTGGCTAACATTTACCCCGTTAACGGATATGAACTTTTCTTTAAACAAGAGAGAGTTCAGGGATGCCGTTCATCTCCGCTATGACTGGCACATAGCTGACACGCCCTCCACTTGTATTTGCGAAGATGCTTTTACGGTGGATCGTGCCATGGTGTGTAGACGAGGAGGATTCATCATCCAGAGGCATAACGAGCTGCGTGATCTTGTAGCCGATTTGCTAAACACTATTTGCCACGATGTGCAAGTGGAACCCGTTCTCCAGGAGATAACGGGAGAAGTGCTGACGAGGGGTACGAACCCAGCACCAGATACCCGATTGGATGTTCACGCTCGTGGGTTCTGGGATTGGCAAGGCTCTGCCTTTTTCGACGAAAGGGTTTTTCACCCAAACGCAGAGTCTCACAAAGATCTCACCATTCAGCAGATTTATCGCAAACATGAAGATGAGAAGAAGAGGTTGTACGCGAACAGGGTTTTGGAAGTTGAACGAGGGACTTTTACACCTTTAGTCTTTACTACTATCGGAGGCATGGCGGACGAATGCAAGCGTTTCCACAGTAGATTAGCGGAGCTCATATCTATTAAGAAAGGAGAGGAGTACAGCACAACGATTTCATGAATACGTTCAAAAGTGTCCTTCGCTCTACTAAGGTCAGCCTTACTTTGCCTAAGAGGTTCACGCACCACTAGGCGTGTCCCTCTGAACATTGAACATTGTGACTTTGAGATCCAAAAAGAACAAGCAGGATTTAGAGAATAGTTTTTTTTATTTATCTTTTTATATAACATTTATTTTTTATTATCTTCTCTTTCTTTAAAGTTCAAGAAGTAAACGTAAACGAAGCGTGTATCCGTTAGTTTTTTCTTAGATTTTTATTAAACATTTTAATGTATTTGTCGATTTTTTTAAAGGAATTTATCATAATTTTTGGTAAATATTTTTAGTGATTATAGTGAATAAAGAATTTGCATTTGTAGTTGTTGTTGTTGTTGTTGTTGTTGTTGTTATTATTATTATTATTATTATTATTATTTCAGTTATAAGTAATGCTAATAAGAGGGCCTGTTCCCACACCGTACACCACAGTTCTACATTCTTTACGGCTGACATTTCGCAAGTGAAGAATGGTGAGCTCCTTATTGTTGTATATTTCACGCGCTTGAGATGTACTCATACTCCTTGTCTTTCCACATGACTACATTTGCGCTTTTCTTATCGTATGAAAATCCTATCAATTGTAGTTTCCATCGTATTTTAATAACAGAAATACATCATTTGTAATAAAGTTCAAGCCCTTTGGACCCTCTCTACTGCTTTCATTCAGTATATGGGATTCACTGTTGGATTTAATACACTGAACACGCAGGAAATCTGCAGAGAGCACGTTGAAGTTGTTAAAAATGTTTTGATTACCTTTATAACTAAGGTGCAGTTCTCCCTTGTTTAGGCCATTCTCTGTGATCTTTAGATGCTGGATAAGTTTCCATTCCATTAGCTCTTTAGATGTATATTCGCATCTTTCACTGCTCCATTGAATTCATCCGTTGTAGCTTAGATGTAGCGGAGTTGGCGTCGGATGAATTTTCGATTTGTCCACGATCGATTCAGCATGTTGCAACAGTTTAATGTTTAAGGTTATTGGAGCCGACACAGAGAACGACTTGGTCCGGCGAATGCTCCAGGTTAGCTTTGAGGTTTTCCTTCATAGCTTTAATGGTGGCCTTACAGAATAATTTGACCACTCCTCGATGGCCAACGGCTTTTTCTAGCTTTCTACGACACACGTTTGTCTTTATTAAGGAAGCTCCAATTGATAGGGTTGAACATCAAAGTGTAGCCAAAAATGCTCGTTACATGTCCAACTTCTCTTCCAAAATGGCTAAACGAAACGAAATTCAGTAATAAATATCTAACCGGTTGCAAGAAATAGATGGCAAGTTATAGTTGTCACAATTCAAGGTAAAGAAATGAACAAACGAGAAAATAAAAATGAAGGAAAACAAAAGACACTTACAAACGTCGTACGAGATCTGAGCCAACTGCTAAATTAAACGGACGATGTAAAGCGACGTAAAGGGGCGTAAAGCGATCGATAGGGACGGTGTAAACAGTTAGACGGTTCAAATAGTTTCCCTCACATGTGACTCGCCCTTAGCAGTTAAAACGGTTGATCCGAATGAATAAAATCCGCGGTGAAGAACTAACACAAGCGACATAAACAAAAGGAAATTATTCAGGAAAGAGTAACAGAATTTTGATGAAAGTTATGCGCGCAGAACAAAAGGCCTGAATAAAATGCGACAAAAGAATAGTACGAATTTGTAATCAAGCGAATTTTTGGTGGGAACAGTTGTTTCCTGGAAAAACAAGATCAGGGATCACCGGATCACCGGATCACCGGATCACCGGATCACCGGATCACCGGATCA